TCATATCCAATGCCTCTTCTGTTGTTTCTACTAACACCATAGATCATGGAAGCCATCTTGCTTCTGTCTATGCTCTTAGTGAGAAATCTCTGAAAACTAGAGTCATATTTTTCTAAAATATTTTCACATGACTTAGTCTCAGATTCAGATTCTTGTTGAGTTCTATCAAAGTCATTTTTGATTTTTAAATTTATTTCTTTCTGCTCAACAAGTTCTGTTTTCAGAAGATCAATCTCAGATTCAAGATTGCTTTTCAGCTTCTTGTATTTGAGTTTGATGTTGTTATAACTTTTAAGAACTTCTGTTAAAACTTTAATGAGTTCTTCTTTGGTAAGTTTAGCCATTACCTCTTCTGCATCATCATCAGATTCTGATTCTGATTCATATCCTGAGGTACCTTCCTCTTGATCCTCTGTCCTGGCCATCAGTGCAACGCTTGCACATTCTTCTTCTGATTCAGAAGATGATTCACACTCATGTGAGTCATCCCATGTTGCCATCAGAACCTTCTTCTTTTTGTTGAACTTCTTCTTAGGTTTTTCTTTCAGAAGTTTGGGGCAGTCATTTTTGTAGTGCCCAGGTTCTTTGCACTCATAGCACACAACTTCTTTCTTGGCAGATCTTCTGTGACTAGAAGATTCCTTTCTGTTGTCAGATCTTCTGAAGTTGTTGAACTTCTTTCCCTTGTGCTTCCAGAGTTTGTTAATCCTTCTGGACAGCATGGATAACTCATCTTCTTCTTTAGAAGAAGATTCTTCAGAGCTTTCTTGAATGACCTGCAAAGCTTTAGCAGTTTTGTTAGATTTTAATGCTACAGATTTACCTTTATCTTTCTTCTGAGGTTCATCTTCCTCAAGCTCAATCTCATGGCTCCTCAGTGAGATGATGAGTTCTTCTAGAGAGATCTTGTTCAGATCTTTGGCCATCTTCAGGGCAGTCACCATTGGTCTCCATCTGATGGGCAGACTTCTGATGATTTTCTTTACATGATCTGACGTGGAATATCCCTTGTCCAGAACTTTCAGCCCAGCAGTGAGTATCTGGAATCTGGAGAACATGGCTTCAACAGATTCAGAGTCTTCCATTTTGAAAGCCTCATACTTCTGGATCAGAGCCATAGCTTTTGTCTCCTTAACTTGAGAATTTCCCTCATGAGTCATTTTAAGGGATTCAAACATATCAAAAGTTGTCTCCCTGTTTGTGATTTTCTCATATTCTGTATGTGAAATAGCATTCAGTAATATGGTTCTGGCTTTATGGTGATTTCTGAAGTCTTTCTTCTGAGAATCTGTCATAGATTTTCTGTCAATCTTTTTGCCATCTCCATCTGTGGGATGTACATATCCATCTATGACAAGATCCCATAGATCAGCATCATATCCTAGGAAAAAACTTTCAATTCTGTCTTTCCAGTAATCAAATTTTTCTCCATCAAACATTGGAGGTTTGGTGCTGATCATATCCCTCTCTTCATATTTATTGTTGATATTTGACATTGAATTATCAGCCATGATAACAAATAAATATATTTATCAAAGTATATCTCTCTGGATCTTTACTGACACTGTTAAGTGATAGCACACTCAGAACCGGAGCTCTGATGCCAACTGAATGTGAGATAATACTTAGAAAGGGGGGATTGAATAAGTATGGAAAATTAAGACTTGAAAATAATCACACAATTATTTTTATCCTGGTTCGTTTAACAACTACTCCAGTCCACCCTTCCAGAGTGATTTGCCTTTCTCAACAAGGACTTAATCCACTATTAAATCAAACTGATTACAATAGTATCACCTAAGAACAACAGTTCTTAGTCTTCTCAAGAGCTACTGATTCTAACTGAATCCTCTTAAGGAATATCCTTTACAATCAATGTAAATTAAATACAAGAGTTTTTTATTGCTTCTAAAAAGCTTTTATCACAACTGTGATTTTCTCTTAAGTTTAAGTACAATGAGATTCTATGAAGAATAAGAATGAGAGCTTTTAGAATATTATGATTTCTTTTCAGCAAGTGTGTAACTGAAGAATGAAGTGAAGATCTCCTTTTATAGGCAGCTGAACCATGCAAGCTGAACGTTGAAAAGAGAGTCCCAAAAGGTCTGAGCCTTTTTGTCTTCACATCAATTGACCTTTCCTTGAAATAGATGACACAGAAAAATCCTTTTTGTCTGTGTAAGTGTGTCTAGCACAAATAAGGAAAGAGACGTTGAATAGTTCCAACGGATATATTCTTGAAAAAACTTCTTCAGTTTCAGCAAGTTCTTCAGAGTCTGAATGGATCAGAGTCTTCTAATGAGATTCAGAACTATGTTGTATCAGAGTCTTCTGCAGCGTGTGTGCTTCTAGCGTGTTGATCATCAGAGCATTTTGACACAGAACTTCAGTACTTGGCAGCGTAGGTACTTTCAGAAACTTCTGTAGACTAATTCTTTGAGAAACTCTTCAATCAATATTCTTCTATACTTCTGATGCTTCAGCTTCAGATGCTTCTGATTATCTTCAGATGCTTCTGACTCAGAATGTTCTGGAGCTTCTTTCTTCAGATCCTTCTGGAGACAACGCTCAGGATCTTCTATAAGGAGCAAACAGATTCTTCTGTAAGGTGCATCTGGCGCTTCAGAGTCAGAATAACTTCTTGTATTCAAGGCAGATTTGCTTCTAGAGAGTTAATATAAATTCAATCTGCAGTAAAACTCTCAAACAAATTTTAGAGTATATAATTCTTAAATATAAGTTTCCTAACAGTTATCATCAAAACAAAGAGTAATTATTAAGAACCAATCTGTGTTCTAACACCTTGCACTCCAAGTGTTTGATCAATTGTGTGAACTAAAAACAATTGTGTTGTCTTTTCAAACTGTTTACGTTTTAAAGGCATTGGAACTAGTCACACCTTATAGTGAACAAAATCTAATTGAAGTGTGATTAAAGTAGTGATTCTCAAATCTCTTTTATCGAATTCCATAGGTTTTACGCATATTCGATTTTTTTGGTAACTGTTTGTTTTAGACGAATATAGTTCCTCGGCCGCTTCTGCCTTAAACATTTTTAAAAATCAATTTTTGGTAGCGCCGACTATGTTTTAAACAAGCGATCTATTCAATCCCCCCCCCCCCCCACCCACCCACTTCTAGATCTGCGCCATCGTCTAACATGTTAGTCTTATATGTTGAATCAATTATAACACAGTAGAAAATGTATTGAACAACTTGATGGAATCCAGATAAGCCCAAAATATATCTCAAATGGTTTTCTATCTTCACACACTCTGTACGTAGATGCATAATGATTATCATCCAATAGTTTCAATAATTTTTGCATTTTGGATCTTAGGCCTCTTTTCACTTTGTTGTTTCGGTGCAAACATTGTATACTTACCTAATATTTGTGACACTTTCGAGATTTTTTCTTTTCAAAATTACGAATATATTTTTGGGGTTAACCATGCTTAATGTCATGTCAGAGACAAGTTTCTTCTCTTCATAACTCGTACAACATACAATGGGATGGTAGACTAAGTTGTAACGCAAAACATGATTATGTATTCAATAAACCACATTAAATGTCAGTGTATTATTCTTCTTGCAGTACCCGCTCAATTTAAAAGGACACTCACATTTCTTTGTTCTGGTGTTATCGCGTTTCAATTTTTGGATATGTTTATTATCCTTATCACTTCTTTCGCGTCTCATCGTCACAAATGCATGTCTTCTATTAAAACAAAAATCCAGGCTTGCAATAATATTATTGAATCCTAATTTGGTAACCTTTGTGTGGACACATTGAAGCATATGTTCACGTATAGCAAATTTCTATTTATATGTAAATTGTTTTCTAACATCTACATGAATATCACCCGATTTAACATCCATAAATACATTAGTCTTAGGGACAACAGGGACATCATCATGATGCACCATAACTATAACAAATCATAACCGAAGACAATTCAAATTCAAAGTCAAAAGAGACCGAATTTCAATATTTGAAACATGATCCAAATTTCAAAATATGGACGCGACGTACATAAGATTTTCTCAAACATTAATAAAATACAAAAGAATGTTATTTTAAATTAAAAATCTTGAATGATAATGGATAGAGATTTTTGTAGGATTTTTCAAAAATGATGTTATGATAATGAAGAATGGTATACAAGCAATCTGATAGTCAAACTCATTTTCCTGCTTAGAGTTTTCAAATATTGAAATTCAAGCAGCGTTCAGAGATCCTACATATTTCTTAGAAAAAATGAAGATGTCTCTCAGAAGAAATGATTATTGTATAATAAACACGTCTCCCAATGATATGAAGAGTATATTGAAATTTTCATAGTATGTGATCACTTCATGGTATAGTGAACAATACCCAAATACCAAAAAGCTTTACATACACGTTCTTAGTTTTTCCGACTAGTGGGTTTCTCGACTATAGTCTTCAATTTATTAAGGTGGGTTTCTCGACTCATGGTTCAGAACTAATGATTGAATCTGTCTATAAAGATTTTGAAATAGACCTCTATTAGATCTATAAGTATTTCTATTTAAACAAATTATATATTATATTAACATAACTTTAAAATAATATTATAAAACTTTTCTCTACATTTTTACACATTTCTCACTGCCTAAAATGGAATGAAAAATTGAAGGACAATGAAAATTAGAAGGGATAAAAAAAATGAAATAATGAGATGTACACATTCATATGACCTGTAACCTATGCACACCATATAGCTCTGAAAAAATGTAAGGAAGCTGATAAAAGGTACACCTCCTTGCTGGAAGAAAATCAATGCACAAGGGACATTATTCAGCTAACTATCTGATTGATGATATTTGCCCTTAAACAACACACTGATCCAACCATAAATTACTGTTGCCAATCCCTTGTCAAGAAAGCAGCTAGTGCAACTTTTCCAAGGATCTTCTTGTATGAAACAGTTTTATCAAGAAGCTTAACTATATGAGAATTGCCATCCTTTCTATCATTAATCAGCAACCAGCAGCCTTCAAGAAGTTGTCATATGGGCGGGATGCTGGCAGTTGAAAGAAGGCATCCTCTTGCTGATATGATGTGGCACAAAGCCTTGGAACAGTCTCTGGCAATGTGCTGGGTGAATCCAAGAATGGATTTCCATTCTGCAATTCAAATGGCACAGGAATAAGATTTTTTTTATATAGGAATTTTAAACATAGATGAAAACGACACCCAATAAATAGGTCACTAGGTCAGTGTGGATTTTAGTTTTCCATGGTCCCTAAAATATTTAGAAATTTCTAACTAAGTTCTTGAATTAAATTTTTTTTGAAGATATCTCAAAGCATAGCAAATTCCAAATTTCAAAATTAAAGTAAAGAAGTACCACCAAAGGTAAACTCTGTTGAACATTGGAATTTTTGGGTTCGTCCTTTTCATGGTTGTAATCAGTAGGAGCAAGAATCCTGAATGAATAGCCATGTAATGAATTGGCACCCATGAAAGTGGAAATCTTTTGTTGCTTTCCCGCGAGGAGGGCCTCACAATGGAGAGCCATTTCTTTGTATGGCATGTTAGAAGGTGTTGAAACAGAAATCCTTCCTACATGATGTGTTGTATCAAAAACCTGCAGACCAGTTCATTTTACAACTCATTATTTTTTATATAATTAATAATAGAAATCCACAAGGAAATTAAAGAAATAAATGGGTGAGTGTTGAAGAGAATATTTTTCAAACCACAACTTATTCTATTCCCAACAGTTAACATAGCTATCAAGAAAACAATTTGCCCATAATCCAGCATTTGACAAATTAGCCATTCAAATGTGGAGCTCAATAAAATGAATATCCAGCTAAAAAACCATGTCCATTAATGGAAATGGACAGCCATCATGAAGACACCTATGAAACTGCAACCTTTTGAGTTCCATGGGATGTGAAGTTTCATACCCTAGGAAGCATGGACAGACACCCAAGTACTCAACATTTTAGAAATGTAACATAAGCATTTGGGCAAACCATCATTTTGGTCACTAGAACTGTAACTTGTTGTCACATTGGTCCCTGAATATATCAAAATTGCAAACATGTTGCTCTTTAATTCGTCATTTTGGTCCTCGAATCTTTTTTTAGGTAGTCAATTTAGAGCCCTCGAATCTTTAAAAAAAAAGGTCCTCAAAGGTGTTTTTTGTTGTTCAATTTAGTCCATAAAATTACTAACCAGAAAGGCACTAGGGATGTGTTTGCAATTTTGATACATTTAAGGACTATAGAGTAATGTCAATGCCTGATGCATTCAGGGATCAAAATGGTTGTCTGCCCATTAGAATTTGGTGTCTGATCATGTTCATGTGTCAACAAGGACAGGGCTCCTTATTTTGGAGCTTTATTGCTTGTGTCGTGTCTTAAGAAGTCTCTGGTATGATATGAGATCAACACAAACACAACTCTTTAATTCCTTGTTCTCCTCCTTTGCAGTATAACTTGCTTTACACTATCTAGAAAGTACTGCTACTGTTTTCATATCATTCACGGCTCTATCTGACAGGTTAAAATACAAAACAACCAAGCTCTGGGAATTGAGCTTAAAACTTGGTTATGAGGTATCCAGGATAACTTTTATAAACAACTTACAGCTTATATGGAACCAGTTTAACCATATTTTCCATTTGATAGCATAGTTTGTACACAAATGTTTATGATAAACACTAACTCATTAAATACTTTTTAAGTTGTTTACCCAAAACACTCTTAATACCATGTCAAGAGATAAATCAGTCCAAAAATTAACCAGTGGGTGCAGGTCTCAAAATATAGTTTATCTCTAAAAAGTAGAATTCTAAATGTGTGTTTGGATTAGCTCATCAAAATATCTTATAATAAAAATAGTTTTAGGGGAGCTTTTGAGAAAAATCAGACTTTTCATTTTCCCCTATAACTTACGTAAAACCAAACAAGTTATTAGAATGTACATATCAATTAATAGAAAAACTTACTGAACCCAAAATGTCATCAACACTAATCAGGCTTCGATTTTCTGAAGGCTGTTGTTGTGCATCAGCATTAGCTTGGCTTTCCAAACCGCAAGCTGGAATGTCATCATCAATAGTAAATAGTGGAATATCAACCTGCATAATTTTATGTAGGTGAACTGTATGGGTTAAAATACAACAGAAATGTTTGTTAATTAAAATAAATGTTGAGAGCAGAGCTATGCAAGTTACCATATCAGAATGTTTATCATCCTTTAGTCCAGACTGGCAAATGTTTCCTGTTGTATCAAGAGACAACTGGACTCCTAATGGACAAGCATCATCTGGTGAAAAGTTAGTAAGCAGCCGTTCTTTTAACACGGATGCTTCCTGTTACACAAAAAACTGTAAATTAATACACTGATCCTGATAAACTAATGCAACATTAAATGATAAATAAATGTAAATGGTTGTTACAATTGAAAGTTCTTCTAGACTCTGCACTATCATAGTAACAAATGATTCATTTGACTGGCTTTCAGTTAGTTTTATCGATGAAAGTGACTTTAACGCATCTTCATCATCCTCTTTTGATCCATAAACTTTACTTGGCTTGCCAGATGTATCAACCTTAGCTTGTAACTTGCTGTCATTAACCAGTTGAAGGAAAGGATCAACCTGAAAAGAAGCATGAAAAACTATAAGACATACAAAGGAATTATTTTTTATCTTATAAAACACCACTAGGAAGTAGGTAGATAGTAGGGAAAGAGAGAAAATTGGACAACTTAATTGCAAAACACTGTAACCAACACAAGATGTACATACAGTTCTATCTGTCAATGTCATTTTTGCAATAGATATGAGAGAGAGGATGTTGTAGGCCTTGGATGTGAAGATAATCATGGATGTTGCTAGTGTAAAGAGAGACCTGCGGCGTGATGCTTGCAGTTTAACTGGAAAAGAGAAGTGTTTCAAAACCAGGCATGTTAACAATGGTTCACAATTTAAGCCATTTCATCAAAAAGCAACTTAAAACAAATACAAATTAACTATATCTAATATCAGAGCATATGCCATAATAAATAAAAATATATGCTATAACCACCTGTTCTATTTGGTTGAGTATGTAAAAAGTAATCTAATGAATTTTGCATATCATGGAAAATCCTAGCTGCAAAACTTCCCTGTTCACTATGTTACATCATGCACCACAATGGAATTTTTCCATTCCATGTTTTAATTACAATCAGAAAAAGTAATATGAATGCTTATCATTTATTCTATGCTGTTCAATAAGTTTAACGCTCCCACCTAAGCCTAATAAGTTCAAAATATAAATCACCATCTAATGAACGTTACATCCAAAAAGCTATTCCAGTTATGTGATTGGAAAAACAGAAAAGTTAAAGCAGTGAGCCCAGGATATCAACTGAAAAGGAAAGGTATGTGATTAGAGAACAGTGAAATAGAGAATATTCTGCAGAAACTCGGTTCCTAAACTTTAACCTTTACAAGAATCTTGAATCTGCTGGTTAAGATACTTACTCTTCAGTCATCCTATAATTTAAACATTTAATAAAAATGATTATAGTAACACACTCAAAACCAAACTGAGTTTCTATTACCAATTCACACGGGGAGAAGACAGAACCAAGTTCAGGCAGAACACAAGTTTATATAAAATGATTAGTTTTGCGGCATTTGTAATCAATCTAGAATGGAATCAAAGAACAAGCTCTAATTCATCTACAACTGCAATGAATAATCATTCCATCTCATTAAAAAGGAATGATCAGTCCGGTCTATGCAGAATATCAAGGATAGAAATGAAATTGGTACTCATGTCTACTTCAGATATCAAATTGAAGAATTTCCATTCTTGCATACTAGAGGCGGGAATGGAATGTTTCTGATAGGACTCCCCATATGGTTCAGAATGTTAGGGAAGCAGATGGTGATAAGCCTGCCATTTGAATGCTGTATGAGTGCAAGAATAAGAAAGAAAAAGTGGGAGCTACCTAGCTGTATGAGTACAGGAAGTTAGTTAGAATATGCCAAGATCTTAGTCTCATTGCTCTGCGGTGCATTCTCTCAGGTTCCTTTTATTTAAGATCTTAGACAATTATTTAATTCAATGTGTTTCTTCTTTCTTTTGTTCATTTAATTTGTCTACTCTATCACAATTTCCTTTCCTGAGTACCAAACCTTACCTTAAAAGGAAAGAATGGGAACAAAATCATGTGATTCTAAACCTTACCTTAAAAGCAAAGAATGGGAACAAAATCATGTGATTCTAAACATGTGTTCACAAGATATCCATTTATATCATATTTCGCTGATATATTGAGCTTACCATTCTTAGAAAAGACAAAGTATCTAAACACGTGTTCACAAGATATCCATTTATATCATATTTCGCTGATATATTGAGCTTACCATTCTTAGAAAAGACAAAGTAACATACAAACTTTAAATAATATGGTTTCAAGGCTCTACCGTTTTCATTGAGAGAAATGCTCCTCAAGGAAAATGCCAACTGGAAACTTTGAACTAGAGCCTCATGAGAAGAATTCTGCAGTAACCAAAGCTTACAAGTTACAAGGATAAGATAAAAGATAAACTAAAAAATAGCTTTGGCCATAAAAAAGTTGCATGAATGTTTTACTTACAAAACCACACAGTAACTAAAGACTTCTAAACCAGTTACAAAAACATTTAACAGTTGGTAAAGATGTGAAGGCACCCCAACGGATAATACAGAGCTTGTGTGAATATTAAAAACCATAAAAATTAAAACTGGACTTTGAAAAATTAATTCAAATTCTCCCAATCATATAAATGTCTTCATTGACTAAATCTCATTCCGAGATAGCCACTCATTTTACCCATACCCCCATGGCCCTATCTTTTCAACTCTAAGGAATTTATTTTGAGGGAATTGGCAGATTAATCCTCAAAATTGTGAGCATTGGTCAACTTTTTCCATAAAAAGCAATGACATATGTTAAATGAACATGTGTTCTTCCACGTGGACTCCACATCAATGTCACATCACCGTGAACTTGTAAGATCTGTTAAACATGTGTTTTCATGCCAATTCTAAGGTTGTTAACTCGAGATCAAACATGCTAGATAATTTATACCCGATAAATTTTCATATGCAATTTAGTCTCATCCACATGAAACACGATATGGTTATTTAGTGTGTAATACCATAGCCTCTAAAGACATAAATTAACAAAGGGACCATTTTGACTAACATGTTACAATTTTAGGGATTTATCTACCCTGTCCATTCACCCTTGGATGTCCTACCTACACCCTTCTAGAAAAATCTTGTCTCTCAAATGTATATCTTGGACTAAACCTTCAAAAACCACCTACAATGTTACCCTGTGTTGCTCTTCTACACCTACTTGCAAAGAAACTCTTCATAAATTTTATAATTTAGTTGGAATACATTATATTTTAATTTATTATAATTATATTATAGTTGGTTGCTTAAATTTTTCCAATCATACTTCTAAAATTGTAATTTACTAGAAATATAAGAAAAATTATATGTATTTTATGTGTGTGTGTGTGTGTGTGTGTGTGTGTGTGACATTTGTTACAACTTTAGAAGCTTTGTTGGTTAATTCCGTTAATCATTAACATTTTGATCGTGTAGTGTCTAACTTCGTAAGGATATGGTAATCCTTGCATTGACATTAAAATTTATAACTTCGGTTTTGACCAGTGATATGAACTGCATGTTATTGTATATGAGTAAATTATCTATGAGTTTGTGTTTAATCTTAGAACAACTTCATAAATAATCGCCTATACTATCATTAAGGGAGCAGGCGTATGAATCATTTTTAATAAATTGAAATGACCAAAAAATAAAATAATTGCAATGGGCAAAAGATATATGTTTATGAGACGATTTTTATTTTGTTAAAAGTTAAATTACCAACTTTATGAGAAAGTCAGTAAACTGAAAGGGCTATGAGTAAATTATCTATGAGTTTGTGTTTAATCTTAGAACAACTTCATAAATAATCGCCTATACGATCATTAAGGGAGCAGGCGTATGAATCATTTTTAATAAATTGAAATGACCAAAAAATAAAATAATTGCAATGGGCAAAAGAAATATGTTTATGAGACGATTTTTAATTTGTTAAAAGTTAAATTACCAACTTTATGAGAAAGTCAGTAAACTGAAAGGGCTCTGTTAAAAGTTGGTCAACTTGTCCATACTGGAAAACATTTTTTTCAATCTATGTATAGATGGTAAAATACAAGATTTGTCACATTACCTTACTCCGAGCAACTAGCAGGACAAGGCTATAGGTATGAGCAATTGCTTCAAAATTTTCAGGTGTATTCAGGGGATAGATAGACTGGACCCAGATTGATGATAGTAAAAGGGTAATCTGATGAGTACTCAGCCTAATCGGCAATACCTGTGGCATGGTAGTCATAAGAAGAATGGTAGTATGCGATGGTGTTTGATTGATACATTCTAAAACAAGTGCAGGTACATACCTGTTGGTTATCGGAGCTATTTGCAGCACCTTCTTCAACAGTTACAGGCAATTGAGGCCTCTTAATACTAGTTGCCCGGCTGTAACTTGACTTCAATCTACTTATCATAGAAGGGTTATTAACCCTTGAAGATACACTTATGGCCATAGCTGATTTTCTTGAACTAGTGGTCCGACTATAACTTGACTTCAATCTGTTCAGAACAGAGCTATCATTGCTCTTTCTATCTGACTGACTATCTTCTTGCGGGGAAAGTTGCTTCTTCTCCAATTTTTCAAAGAGTGCAGCCGAAGAAGAAAATACGGAGACATTTCTCGAAAGCATTCTCTGAATATCAGTTGTCTTTGGCATGGGGGGATTTAAAGAAGAAGGTTGAGGACAAACTGACGATGGCACAAGAACAACAGAAAATATGCGGTGTGCACCCACTCTGGTTTCATGGTCTGCATGGACCATTGCCAGGAGTAACTGATGAAATAATGCTTCAGGGAATGCCTAAAGAAAAGAGTTTCAAGTTTACAGACAACCAGAAAAGGATGAGAAGAAAGAAGTAGCAAAATATTACAGTCATTACCAATCAAGTAGATTAAGTAACTTGCCTTGTTCTGATATGACAAATTGGGTATAGAAGCAACTATTTGAGAAGTTCTATAAACTGCGGCAATCAAGGTTCTGGCCATAACTGTAATATTAGACATGTTTTCCAACAACACAGCCATGGTATCAAGAACAGGACCTGCGTCTGAAATCTGCATAACATTATAGCCAGTAACCACAAAAGAATATTAGATCAATTAACATTAAACATCCAAGGTTCACAGTCAAATATGCACATAGATCTACTTGCTTATCTAGTTTGATACAATATTAAGTATTAACTAAAAAAATTATATAAAAAAGCTGAGCCTCTTTTGTCACCTTAATTGTTAGTTGTACAAGGCACTCATCTACTTCCATTCTGTACTTTTGGTTCCATTGTATTACTTCCGCCCCTAAGTTTGAATCATCAATAGAGCAGTGTATGCTTTTTCGCAGGTGTCTCATCATATCACTCAATGCACCTATTATAGCCACAGATTGCTGAACTCTTGTTTGTTGAGCAAGATGGGTAATAACACTAACGATATCAAGCTGCATATTAGGATTCTTTAAGACATTCTTATGATCAAGGTGCTTAACTAAAATGGACAGCAACAAGTGTGTATTCTGTCCTGTAAATATGGTGAACCCAATTACAAACTGTTTAGATAGGATAAAGAAACTTTGACACAAAGCTGATACCAAAGCACTCAAGAAAAAAAAAATACCAGCATTTTCAATTATAGACTGCATGTCTAGCAAGACAGATAGAGCAAGCCCGTGATCTGGAGACCAGAGATTGGCATTATCAAAATAGCGGAAAAGGGATTCCAGAACACGCCGTACAGTGGTACCTTCCTTGGCTAACTTAGCCATATTTTGTATGCAAACTCGCGACCAAAATCCAGGACTCACAGCATCTTCCCTGTGGAGTAAAAACGAATTTAACATAAGTTATGACAGACGAGAAACTCCAAACATAAGCTAATAAAACAAGAAGGGCAGTTACATAGGCACATTGACTTCTCCTTTGGCATTCACTACCACTTTCCATGAATAAAGCCTAGTGGAATTCTCATTTTGAGAATCTTGCTTGATCTCCCCATAGTTTTCCAAAACAACCGAAACAACCTGAGTTAACAAGAGATGCTTGCTGTCAAATGCAATAAGTATACAGAAGGGTAAGACAAAGGGTCATTGAAAATGTTATAAGATGTTCAGATGATAAATGAATTTAGTCAATAGTGATGTTTCTCTCTTAGACTTAGTATGTAATATGTTGAATAATCAAAGGTATTGTAATTTAGTTCATTCATCATACGACAAAAACTATAGTAATTAGTCCACATGACTATTAAACACCTGGGTCAAGGAAAAGTCGCTGGTTTGAGAAGAACCGAAAAACTACAACCAATCACTAATGTCTTTTTTTCTGCATGAGAAATGGAAGATGCCTCAAAAGAAAATGTAAATAGATTACGAACTTACATTGTCAAATTCAACTGAAATATGAGTGAACTCACCCATGAACCAAACCTGTAAAACATAAAAAGAATCTTATCAATTTCACTTGAGTTGTGGAATCAACCTCTTGCAAAGGCAAGGTAAGACTGCCTATAATAGATTTCACCCTTCCCTAAACCCTACATCGAATGGAGTTTTGTAGCACCAAGTAGCCCCTTTTACATATTATCTTCTCTTTTGATAACTATTATAAACATTGAAAAATGGATTAACTTTGAAGAGAACATGAAACCGTAGACAAGTATTATTATGGACCCGTTTGTCATAAACATGATAAAGTAAACATCGTATTACCATTGCTGAAAGGACTTGAAGCCCAGAAGCTCGCAAATGCAGTATTTTTGCTTCATCTCCCATTTGTTGAGCTAGATGGCACAGTTTTAAAATGAACCCGTCTAAATTAAACATATAAGTACCATCCCTCTGCACGTATAAGATAAGATAATATACAAGCTTGAACTCCCATGTGGAAAATTTTATAATGTTGTAAATGTTTAACCATTTAAAGAAAATAATGAACTAGCCGCAAACTCATAAATTGAGAACCTACCAAAAATCCCCCACCTGATTGTTCACAAAGTCAAACAAGGTTTGGCATCCTAAAATCTGCACTTCGTCGTGCCGCGTTTGATCAAGAAGAATTTGTATGATGCTAAGCAAGCTACTTGCAAACAAAGGCCTGCCATAATCATATTATCATAAGTCGTACGTAATGAAAATGTTTTCATTCATAAGGTTGAGTTTGACCCAATCCAAATTCTAAGATGGTATTAGATCCTATCATAGATCCGTTGGACCACCTGGTATAAGGTTTCCACTATCGGACCACCCACTATTTATATTCATGCACCAAGCCCAATAGTGTTTGGCATGAGGAGGTGTGTTAAGAGTCTCATGCCGAATAAGATATGTGGAGACAATCTCACCTTACTAACCAGTTTTGTAATTGAGTTTGGTTCAACCACAATCTTAAGAACAAAAAATTGAAAATTTAATTTCCATAATTTCCTTAAGAGACAATTTTTTCAAATGGTTGCAAACCTAAGAAGATTTGAGGCTATAAAACAATCAAGTTCTTACAATTTTAAATAAATATGTTTCCTAATAAAATAACTACCAAACTTTCTATTCACAATCTTCAGTCAAGTTATGCTAAAGATTATATCATATGTATGACATGTAAATGCAAAAACGATCACATCTATGAAACACGGACACAGACATCTAATATGACAGAGACATGTCGACAGCGGTAAAAATTTCATGCGCATGTTGCTATAGATTAAATTTCATGTGCCACTGTCATGTTGGGCGCCACATGTATCACACATCAAACCCGCCTTCAATGCAAAGTGTCAGCATCACATTATAGGCATACTACTAATCTAGTTTACAAACAGTGATATATCATGTGATGTTTAGTCAGCCATGCTGCCTATGAACCCTACTTGTTATCTCAACAAACATCCTAACTATAATGAAAAAATAACTCACATTTGATCTCTACAAGAAACCAACAACTTCCTATAAATACAAATCACAACTTTGACAGCTTGATAATTCTCATTCCTCAATTCCTTATAACACCTTTGCTCAAGATAGCTGGTTATCTGAAACAGTCAAGGACAACACAGTCATTTTACAAAAATCAGCAAGAAATTAAAAACGAGATTTGGTTGATAATTGAAAAATGAAGAAACCATTCCACTTTATAAAATGAAGAAACCATTCCATTTTACAATTACAATTCACATGCCTTAGGAACACGAAGAGGATTTTTCGATGCATACTCGCATAATTTGCTGATCTTACGATCATTAGGTTCTTCTTCCTGTTACAACAATATATAACATCAACATCATCAATTTCAAATATAATCCCGCATATACATTACAAATTTAAAATTACTAATTATCAACAAATCAAACAAACTAATTACAAAAATTTGACCTGCGTGCGAGGAAAGATATCAGCTAGCAATTTTTTGTAACGTTTAATCGGATGTCGCGATCTCTCTCGCAATGCAGGACAAAAACAACACAAACTCCCGCAAACAGGCCAAATGTTTCGCGAAATCACGCTCATTTTCTTGGAATTATGAATCTAAACCTAAAATCAATTATATACAGATTAACGCTATTAATGATGATAATTGAAAAAGAAGAGTTAGAGTAACGAGATTTGGTTGATGGTGATTATTGTAACGGAATGGAGCTGGAAAATGGAGAGAAAGAGGAAAGGAAAGAGCGAAATGTGAATAGCGCGATAGCAACGTTGAAATGAAAGGCTCTCCGAATTTGCGAGGTGTGTGATCTTTCTTCTCTTTCCCTTTTCCTTCCCTATTTCATTTCCCCTTTCTCTTCTTTCTTTCTTTTGCGTTTGTGTTTAATTTATAGCGTTTGTGTTGTTTTTTTTATCGCTCTCTTTTGGATTTTGTATTAGGACAGCTTTTTCTTTGGAACGACACCTCATAACGTCTCCTTTTTTTTTCCCTCTCGACTCTCGCCAACCAAAACATCCGGGATTCAAATTTTCTTTTTTCAATATTTATTATTATTTATTAGTAAAAAACAAAAAAATTATTATCGAATTTTAGTCAACAAAAAATCTTTCAATTAATACTTTTCTATAACTCACTATAAATACTGAAACTCATTTAATTATTATTGTATTATATTGATGATCAAACATACACAATTTTAGCTCGATATCATATAATTTTAAAAATATATATAATATATTGTGTTTTTTTCATTAGAGGTAGATGGTGAATTGCATGTCTTGAATCGGTATGTTGATTTTCGTTACTACGACACGGGGTGAACATGCATGATTAGCAGCACTTCAACGTTTAAGTTAGTTTAAGATTCAAGGAGATTGTAGTTAAAAATTGAGATCACATAATATATATTGCTTTTTGTGTGAATTGATTTTATATATTGAATTAAGTGGAGCCGATTTGAGATTAATCGAGCATTGACTTGGGTCTTTGGCTTACATAGAATAATTACTCTCAAGGCTTTGTCAGACGCTGAGAGAGCTGGGGAAGCCTTTAGTAATTTTGGTTAGCCTTCAAGGATGTCGTCTAATGCGAACTAGAGGAAAAACGCTTTGAGTCATTTGAAAATGTAGTGGGGAACACGTGTATTTAAAGCATTTTTATCATTGAAAAGTTTCACTACTTACTTCTGACACGTGGGTCAACACGACAAGTTAGGACATGAAGCTTATAGTGCACTCGAGTGTACTCGAGTTTGCATATATTACGAAAGGGAAATCCATTCGTTGATTCCATAACTCGTCTCCCTCACTAATTTGGATTCTTGAATTGTTTTTGCTTATAAATTGGAGGAATCGAGCGATGAAAGACTATTCACAATCCCTGGCATTCAAGCTCACTCCAATTTACTTCATTATCAAACATTTTTGTCCCTTCCTTCCTGAGAGCATTGCTCAAAATGATTGTTGTTTTTTATTAGAGCCTCTACTTTATTCGTTTACTCTACATCATTCGTCTCACATACCCAAGTACCCTTCTCAACTCAAGCTTTTATTTTAGAATTTTCTATTTTCTAGTCAAGATAAGTGATATTACTGTTAACTTGGCGACTAATTCTGAGTGTGATACTTCTTTTGCTGAGAGAATTAAGGAATCCCCTGATTCTCATCTCCCTTTCATTGTTCATCATTGCATAGGCTTGGATGTCATATCCATACTTGACGATTCTGACTCAGAAAAGGGCATTTGAGAGTTCCTTGGAAGAAGGAGTTCCTTCATTTGACTCATTTGAAACTCTTTTATCTGACGACGGTGGGAAGATCATAATGAAGTTCCTATGCCCCCACTCGTTTTGACTGAGGAAGAAATACAAGCAACATGTAGATGAGAGAACGCGTTAAAATTTTCATTCAGCTTTACTTGAGAACCAATATTTGTGAACTCAATGACGCTTAAGTGAAGGCCAACTTAAATCTTCGGGGTCGGCCAAATGCAATGTCTTAGATTACACTTGGCGAACATTCTAAGGCCTACCACTTAGCCCAAAAAGGATTAACGTTAGTGGATCCATTCGATGTAGTGAAGTGCATGTGGGTGGATGTTGAGGTGCTAGGTACCTCGTCCTTGCTGAATAAGCAGCAATAAAGGTTGTTGGCATTCTGGTCGGCGATCCTTAGGACTAGTCGGTTCCTCTCATGGGCCTAAAGAATGGGATATGCAATTCTTTTGACGTCTATGTGATCCCTCTTTATAAGTGATTATTTACTAGGATAGGATTGCAATTTCCCTTCTCTGATTTTGAAGTGGTCATCCTAAAGCATTCAAAGGTTTCCCCTTGCCAGCTTCACCCGAGGTCCTAGGCTTACATGAGGGTATTCCAATTGTGTGTCGATCATAAGTCTTGGAAGCCTTCACTCAGGTTTTTTTCCAACTTATTCTACCTGGTTCACACTTCTCATGATGACTACTACGAATAAGGGCTCATTAGCTTTCACACTGATGAACCTTGGTTTCACCACTTCACTCATGAGGGGGGACGATTTTTTGGGGTGTTTATTACTGCTAAAGCCTCTTATGTTAGAAGCTTATCTTAATTTCTGATACTCCCCTGTTGACTCTTCCCTCTTCTGCAAGAGCACGTTTTTTAAGTATTTGTCTTCATCTTATTTCTACTGGGATGCCCTTTCTACCATACCAAACCATGTCTCCTTCCTCCTGATTAGGTGGCGATGAAGGAAGACCTACAATCTTGGTTTCAAAGGCTTGGTCATGAAAAAGAATTTGGGTTTGACGAGGTGCCTTCTTTTGAGGTGAAGAAGAAATATATTAACATTACGCCATCTTAAGTGCGGTCAGTTAATAGGACAGGAAAAAGATTGTTGGTGAGGATGGGACCTTATAGTGTTTTTTACCAGTTTGATTTTATTTTGCAGATAATATGGATAAGTTGCAGATGTTCTTTGACCTCGTCAGTGCTCAACGTGTTAAGGTTGGTTCTATTGGCTAGGATGTGGTGTTCTCTACTCAGACCACTGCTCCTGCTCCTACCAATGTTCCTCTTTCAACCACTAAGACTGCTACCACTTTCCCCGGGGTCGAACAACTGGTCAATGTTACGGTTGTGTTAATTGTGGAGGAAACATCCCCTTCCCCAATTTCCACAAAGAAGGTCGGGACAAAGACCAATACTCCCCACAGGAAGAAGGTACCCCTAAACAATTTGTCCTTTTTGGAGACGATACTTCTAGAGGGATGAACCTTTTCCCACATATATGTTTACGGTGAAATTTGGTAAACAAACACAAGTTTCTATTAATACTTAAGGGATCAAACTCAAAAATCTCTCAGACATATTTGTGTGTATTTATTACTTGTAAAAAACATGAAGTTGTTGCAGTCAAGGTGAACATAAAAAAATGTTTGTTTTGACCACTTTAAAATCGAAAGGCGAGTGAAGAAAGGACGTGAAGTTGAAATTCAAGTGATATAAAAATGATAGGAAAAGTAAAGGGAATCGACATCGCTTCCATTATGGTGATGAACACCAGCCTTAGTTGTCGTACCCCAAATTTTACCCTTAGATTCTTTGATCTTTTGTAGATCGTTCTAGGCCAATCATATTGCATAATTAACCAATTTATCAGACTTTGTTTGTTTTGTTCACCTATGAATTAGGGTTTGTTCAAAAAGGCTTCAAGGGTTGATTAATCAAGTTTTGGTTAGATCCTCAACCAAGCAGTTTTTCATACTTCTAACACTACAAGAAACATTGCATTTTCCCAAGTGATTCTCACGTCACTAACCTAAAAATCACTTCACTGATCAACATTTACGACGTGGGTAAAACATGTCGGAAATGCAATGGTGGGAAATTTTTCCCACACGGAAAACAGGTCACAAAGTTGTCACATAGATCCCACGTCGCAAATAACAAAAAAAAGAGAAAAAGTTCTCACGTGAAAACCAAGTCACTAATTAGTGACGTGAAAATCATGTGGGAACCTAACACCAGTTGAATTTTTTTCCCATGTGACTCCCACGTCACTAATTTGTGGCCTTGTTTTCACGTGGGAACCCACACTGAATAAATACTTTCCCATGTGATTCCCATGTCACTAATTAGTGACATGGGATGCACTTCACTATGAAATTTAATAATAAAATAAATAAATAATTTTAACTGAAAACAACTATAAAATTAAAATAAATATTAAATATTAAATATAAAATTAAAAATTAAAATAATATACATTAAAAATATATAAATATTTAGTCACATGAAATTCACGTCACAAATACAAATAATAATAATAAAAGTTGTCACGTAATATTCACGTCACAAATATAAATAATAATAATAAAAAAGTTATTTGTCGTCACTAAATGTTGAATCTTCGTCTTCTTCATCATCTTCGACAGAATAATTCGATTTCGAGGCAAAAAAATTTCGCATTTGTGCCTCCATTTCTGATTGTCGCTTCCTCATTTCCTCTATTTCAACATTTTGTCTATTTCTCATATCCTCCATTTCGGTCTTTAGGGCCGCCTCACGTGCCTCCGCCTCTCGTCTCGCCTTAGATAGAGCTAATTGTCTCACTGTTGCCAACATTTCTGGTGTCAATTCTGCCGGACGCGATCCTCCTTCCCCATCATCGAGTCTTTGAAATAAAGTTTGGTCCCCTTTTCTATAATCGCCAGTCAAAGACCCTAGACCAAAAAAACATCCATTGACTCCCTTCCCGCCTACTGTTAAATTCCAAATATAAAGATCAACGCGTGGATCAAGCGGTGCATCCCCAATCGGCGTATATTGAGGATTTTCAGTTAGAAATTGGGCAAGCAAGGTCTGGTACAACTCCTACACACACATTAAAAAAAATTAAATTAAATATAATTTAAAAAATTTAATTATATAGTAATTATGAAATTAAAAGAATTCAACTATAATAAACAAGTTACCAAGGTTGATTTGGAACGGTCGTCAACAAACTCCCCCGATTTTTTGGTTCGGGTCTTCACAAATAGCTCATTAATTCGTGGCTCCCTCCCCAAATCCTTTTTCTAATTAAAATAATGAAGCTTAATT